TCTCTCTCTCTCTCTCTCTCTCTCTCTCTCTCTCTCTCTCTCTCTCTCTCTCTCTCTCTCTCTCTCTCTCTCTCTCTCTCTCTCTCTCTCTCTCTCTGGCAATGTTTTGCACTCTTCCCACTTTTCGATCTGTTTTATCGATTTATTACAGAAAAGTTCATCGAAAGCCGTATAACTGAGCGCTTCATATGCGCGAAAGTTGTCTCACAAAACAAATTGATTTCTTGGTTATATATAAATACCGTTTTATTTCACAAAAGTGAGTGCTTTAAATACACAAATAAAACATTATTTAAATTAAATTTATCGCCTTGCTAATTCCAATAAATTAGAAACGTTTATTATGTTGTTAATCACAAGTGATTTACCGTTTTGTTAAACCTATTTATTCCTCATTTAAACGAAAAGAATATAAAGAATTGAAGATTTGAGTCAACAATCTATAGAAATATTACATCAATGGCACACTTCTAGTGGACACATGTTTTAGAAATGTCAAGAGTATTGCAATCAAAGACCAAAACTTTTTTGAGTGAAATGTGGGATAAAATGGGAAGAAAGAAACACATTAACACTCAAACAGATATATTGGAAACTCAACTCAGACGCTGTTTGACCACATTTGATATTGTATTGCTGGGCATCGGACATATGGTCGGCTCCGGTCAGTATTCAAATAACTTATTCTACATCGGCTTCTTGTCGGTAATTATAATGATTGCTCATTTGGTCTACAGGTGCTTATGTGCTGACCTCATCGGTGGCGCGTAACATAGCGGGTCCGGCCATAATTATATCATTTATAATCTCTGGTGTGGCCTCTTTCCTGAGTGCACTCAGTTATGCAGAATTTGCCGGACGTTTCCCCAAATGCGGATCCGCTTATTCGTGTCAGTTTACAATATTTCGCTTTTATTACATGTAATTTTAACACATATTGTGTTATCTGTCAAACAGATTCGTACTTAGCATTGGGTGAACTCTGGTCTTTCATAGTGGGCTGGAATATGGTCTGACATAACTATAATGCTTGAAATGTGTTTGATATGAAATGTCTTTACGTGTTATAACATAGATATTAGAGAATGTGATCGGAACAGCAGCTGTGAGCAGAGCCTGTTCTGCTTATATGGACTCTCTATTGAATGGACAGATAAGGAACTACACGATGGCATCATTGAGTTCATCAATAGGTCTCAATTACTTCTCAGCACACGTCGATATCTTTGCATTTCTAATTGTGATCGTATTAATGGTGTTTATGACAAGTGGTGTCAAAATCACATCTTATTTGAATAATTTATTTTCAATGATAAACATAACTGTAATTTTCGTAATAATTGTCGTTGGATTGTATTATTCGGATCTTAACAACTGGACTCATAGTCCCAATGGTTTCATGCCTTATGGATGGCGGGGAGTGTTTGCTGGCAGTGCTACGTGTTTTTACGCATACATTGGGTCAGAATTACACCATCATATAAATCAGATTACAGAATATTCTTTTATTCCTAATATTTGCTAATATTTCTTGCAAAACAGTTTTGATTCAATCAGCAGTTCTGGAGAAGAGGCTAAACATCCGCTACAATCCATACCTTTAGCTACTTTTATGTAAGAATTGTACCAATAATTGAAGCATTTATTGTAATTAATGTAAAATATACGTAAAGATCGATGACATTCGCCACCTTCTCATACGTGTCGGTGTCGGCTGTCCTCACACTAATGGTTCCCTACAATCAAATCAATGCTGAATCGGGACTTCCGGACGCATTTGGAGTTCACGGAGCCGTTTGGGTCAAACTCATTGTAATAGTGGGCGCCTCCTGTGGAATGGTTACTGTCCTCATCGGTACTATGTTTTCGTTGACACGTATTGTATACTCCATGTGTGACGACGGGCTCCTCTTCTCATGGATGGGTTCAGTGAACCAAAGAACTCAAATCCCACTGAAGGCCATGTATTTATTCGCCTCAATGGGAGCCCTAATGGCCCTCTTTATAGAGATCACAACTTTGATCGAAATGATGTCAATCGGAACTCTCATCGCATACCTTGTGGTCAGCGCTTCTGTGATTGTCATTCGATATGAACCGAGCGTTCAGTCAAATGATCGACACAATAGTCTCTCAACTGAAGTGAACCAAGAATTGAATGATTTGTCGTCCAATATATCGGAAGAAAATAAATTAATTGACGAACTCGTCAACAATGATAACGAGTCAACCGCTTCGCACACAAACCACAATATTTTAAATTCATTTGCATTTTGCAGATATAGACAGTATTTAATTCATTGGATCAATAGATATGCGCCAAAATCATTGGTCACTATCTGTGTATTCACTATAATTGTCATAATTTTCATATTATGTTTAATGATTAAACATTTCAACGAAGTAAATATTTTTATAATTATTGTTAAAATTTGTTTTAATCAAGAATTTCTCATATTCTTTAGGCAATTCATCAAACATTTCAACTGACAATTATGTTAATCTTGTTATTGCTTTTATTAGTAATACTACTAATTATTAGTATTCAAAAACAAGAGTATTTACCAACGGGTCAGACATATGCGGTCCCTTTTGTGCCACTCGTTCCCACTCTGTCCATATTCTTCAATATAGGTTTAATGATTAACTTGCAATCATTAACATGGCTTAGACTTATATTCTGGATGATTATTGGTATCGATTATTCTCATAAATCATAGTTATATGTATATTAATTAAATGCATTTCAATTATAGGACTATTCGTATATTTTTGTTACGGCATTAATCACAGCAAAACAGAGTCTAATTTCAAACAAATGCAATCCATTAACTCTGAAGGCGTCAGAAAGTGGGGATCCGTTGATGAGAGTGCGTGTCTTCCCGACAATATATCCATGACATCCACCTATTAATCGCTAAATATTGTTCATTCAATTAAATACTATATAATAGTGTTGTGATAAGTAATCATATTTTAATCATTTAATCGGTTGAAAGTATTTAAACATCAATTAACTAAATTAACTTTTTAACAAGATACATTAAAATTGACCATGCTGATATATTGTTTGTATTGCTTAATTGCAAAAGTATTCCCATATATTGTTGTTTAATGTTTCCCTGAATTTATAATTGAAATTGAATTAAACAATAGGAATATTTAATCTAGTTACATTTGATATTATGTACAAACAAAATAAATATAATAAATATTGTTCGTTTATTTTTGTTCGACATTTATCTAACCAAGGTGGCAATTTTTGTGCAATTACCTAAAATATTGGAAATAGTGTATGCAATCACGTGTTACACGTGATACAAACCAAATTACAAGTTTGGTTCAGCAAATTATTTCAGTTACATCTAGAATCTAGATCTAGATTCTTATAATCAGTTTGTGTTCATAACGAGGCAATTGTTTGAACAAAAGTATTTGATTAGTCGTTATATGGTTTGTATTTGTGACCAGAGATGGCATAAGTGTTGTGTTGGTATTGTTTGCATACATTGTGTTGAGCAGTGCTGACCACATAATTGCCGCTCACGTGTCCGTTACCGCCAATTGTGACCAATACTTGTCTTCAATGGCTGTCCCGTATTTGGATCACTTCCTCGACAGTGAGTCACACCTAATATCAAATCAATGAGTGATATGTTTGGTCTATAGGTTTGGAAACACTTCCGACTGATCTGCAGAGGAATTTCACATTAATGAGAGATCTGGACACTAAGACCGAAGGCAAGTGACCATCGTTTCAATGGACACACATTTGGTGACCATTTTGTGACAATTGAGTGACAAATCGGTGATAATGTTATTGAATGGCATTAATTGAGGCAATGATTAATTGAATAGACATTTGAGTTAGACTTAAATGATATGCTTTTGGCTATAAATTGAGATAAATATCGAGAAAATCTATTTATAAATTAAAATTAGATTAAATTGAGTGAAAGTAACGGCAAAATCACCTCATTTTCTGGTTTTTCAAAACTGAGTCAAAGATATTTTGGGAATCGTTTCACATATTTTACACTTGAATTTCCTGTTTCTCTCCCCCTCTCGCTTCCCCTCCCATTGCTTTCTCCCAGTCTCTCTCTCTCTCTCTCTCTCTCTCTCCAGAACTGCTGATTGAATCAAAACTGTTTTGCAAGAAATATTAGCAAATATTAGGAATAAAAGAATATTTTCTCTCTCTCTCTCTCTCTCTCTCTCTCTCTCTCTCTGGGTTTTGTTTAACAGTTATTACTTATAAGAATTATAGGAAATAATTAAACATATTGTGAATGAAGTTTGAAAAATAGTTTATTTTTGAATGTCTTGAATGTCTCCTCCAATTCAGAACTGGTTTCTAAGATAAACAAGTCGTCCGAAGACTATATCGTGTCTGTGAATGAGTTGTCAACGGAAGACAAATGCAATCGTTTCGATCACATCCACGACATGTTCGAGAAGGCGAAGGTCTTGAGCGACGATAAGGTCCAGTTAGCGATGCAGACCTACGAAATGGTCGACAAACACATCCGCAGACTCGACACAGAACTCACTAAATTTGATAATGACTTGAAGGACACACAGTTGACCATTCAGTCCGCAGAACCCGTCACTCATACCGCCGAAGACGGCAAGAAAAAGGGCAGAAGGAGTGATAAAACTAAGAGCACGGGATTTAACCCAAAGAATGTCATTAAAACTGAATCAGAAAAGGGAAAGAAGAAACAGGAGATGAAAATGTCTGAAAGCAGTGTTTTAGCCAATAGTTCCGTTGCTTCCGTTTTGCCCGCATTGATGGCTAACTCTGATATTGGCCTCGATATGGCTGTGGATCCAAGTATTGGATTTAGTCTTATAGTGATATACAATATTTGTCTAATGAATGCTATGTTTGACTTTGCAGATGAGCCCACATATTGTCTTTGCCATCAGGTTTCGTACGGAGAGATGATTGGCTGCGATAATCTCGATTGTGTAATCATTTTTCACAATTACTCGCAATTATTTGTATGCATAACGTGTTTGTATTAATTGTTTAAATTTTTGATTGGCAGCCAATCGAATGGTTTCATTTCGGATGCGTTGGCCTAACCATCAAACCGAAGGGAAAGTGGTTTTGTCCCAAATGTGTGGTCGAAAGGAAGAAGAAGTGATTAAATAGTATTTTTATTCTCATTTGATATGTTTATGCACTCCATTGGAAACAAAATTGAATGATTTATTTCATAATGAAAACAATGTTTAAATCGAAAGTTATTTATTATTTCATAAGACATTTATAACTCATTGATATTATGTTTTTTATAATTCACAAAATGTGTACAAATCTAATAAAAGAAAACAATTAACTATTGGTATTCATCACTAATTTTGTGGACAATTTAAAGACAACGTTTTTCTTCTGCAACGAACTTAAAGCGAACTAAATATGAGATCAAATAAAATGTTTGTTATGTCAAGTAATCTCTAAAAAAGTATAATCTCAGGAAAGCACACATTCTTAAGGCATATACATTATATGCGCGGCAAGTCTTGACCTGAAATAAGGTTAGGGACTGAGAGATGGAAATCAAATATTTTTTTAAAGCAACGCCAGAGGAGTTTACGAAGTAATTTAACGTTAACTTACTTTATATGTAATGATGCGAATGAAAAACAGTATAAAAAGCAATACTGACTAAAAAATTTATGCGAACAAAAAAATCAGCGCTTTTTTAAATAATTGATTCGTTCACCCATTTATCCTGTGTTTGAGAGAGAGTTTCTTGAGACCCAAAAACATAATTTTACTTTCATTTAGAAACCTGTGAAACAGTCAACACATCGACTATAGCTCTCACTCTCCACTCTCTCACTTGCTTTCAGTAAACAATTACTTCAAACACTTTTCATTTCATTTGAAAAACTTTTTAACAACTTTTTGTGTTTATTTACAAATCTGTTAAAAAATTTATCACAATTTCATATGAGTTTACGATTAACTCATTGTATAATGTATTTGTTGTGCGAATGTTTTATTGTGTGAAATAAATACCAGTCAAAAGCTTTTGCGGAAAAAAATTGATCCAAAAAAATGTTGTTCAATGATTCGCGTTATAATAATCATCACATCATCTCAAGAATTGGTGCAAAGAAATGGTCAACAAATTGGCAAAAGTTTTCTGGCTTTCCGTTTGCCTTTAAATTCGAGGATAACTTTCGTATCACTCATGAAGACAAACAGGAATGGCTTAGAGATCACTGGCATTACTCCATATATATCAGTCTAGTGTACGTTATATTAGTTCATGTGCTTCAGAATTGGATGAAATCCCGTGAAAAGGGCTATAATTTGCGCACACCGTTAGCCCTATGGAGTACTGGTTTAGCCATATTCTCCATCTGCGGCACAATTAAGTGTTTACCCGAATTCATTCACATCCTATGGACTAAAGGAATATTCGCCTCTTTTTGTGAATCATGTTATTATGAAGTCTGTAATCCATTCTTACTTTTTGTTCACTTTATTTATTATTAAATTAAATTATTGCAATGCCCTTATTATACAGTATGTTTAGTTTCTAATTTATAGTTACACTTTCTTCTTATAAATTATTCAACAATTTATACAAAATAATTTAATTTTAACTTTTAAGTGCTTTTCTCAACAATATAAATAATATAACGAATATAACTTATAAATATTTAATGAGTAAATTTTTAAGAATTTTGATAAGATTTTTATTGAAAATTGTTGTAAATTATTGCAATGTTAAAACAAATTTCAATATTAAAATTTTATTTTAATTTATATATTAAAACAACCCAAAGAGCCTAATATTGTGAGCCTAATCGTTTCACCGAGGTAAATTTATAATTGCTAATGATGCAGTTATTGAGCCCAGTGAAACGATTAGATCTAAACTAATTTATGCTATATTTATTGTGAATTTATTACTCACAATTAAGTGTTTACCCGAATTCATTCACATCCTATGGACTAAAGGAATATTCGCCTCTTTTTGTGAATCATGTTATTATGAAGTCTGTAATCCATTCTTACTTTTTGTTCACTTTATTTATTATCAAATTAAATTATTGCAATGCCCTTATTATACAGTATGTTTAGTATCTAATTTATAGTTACACTTTCTTCTTATAAATTATTCAGCAATTTATACAAAATAATTTAATTTAATTTTAACTTTTAAGTGCTTTTCTCAACAATATAAATAATATAACGAATATAACTTATAAATATTTAATGAGTAAATTTTTAAGAATTTTGATAAGATTTTTATTGAAAATGGTTGTAAATTATTGCAATGTTAAAACAGATTTCAATATTAAAATTTTAGTTTAATTTATATATTAAAACAATCCAAAATCGGATTATAACACTCGGATTAGCAAAGTGGCTCCATTTAAATATTAACGATTACTACGTCAATAACTCGGGTCACTTTGCTAATCTAGATTTGATTAAATACGATATAAATAACACTTAAATAATGTTTGTATTCGTTTGTTAATTTGTCGCATACTTTTATAAGATTCATTTGTAAGCTAATTGCTTAAATAATAAGTATAATATTTATAAATATAGTTTGAAATCAATAATGAACAATTACTTCTTATTATAGTTCTATAAATATATATTATTAAATTTTGAAACAAATTTCTCAATACAATAGTTTGACAATTATTTTAAAAAACAAGAACCAGAACTAATTTGCTTTTAATTGCTTTCAAAACATATAAAGTTTATTTTGTGTCAAAAGCTTTAAAGTAAGACTTTTACTTTGTATTCAATTAACGTTTGCATGTTTAGTGCAATTTGTCAATATATATGTTAAAAATCACATATTTATTAAATTCAAATACCTTTCAAAATGTATAGAAAATTCAAATTTATGGCATATATTAAATATTTGTTAAACAAACTATCCTTTTGAATATACTAATGGTATGGATGTGTACTGTATTTGCAGGACATTCGACTGGTATTCTGGTATTGGCTGTTTGTCATATCAAAAGTGGCCGAATTGGGCGATACGTTCTTCATCATATTCCGGAAACAAAAACTAATCAAGCTCCATTGGATTCACCACTGCCTCACACTATGCTATAGTTGGTACGTTTACGCCGACATCCCGGCCACTGCCCGATGGATGGTTAACATGAACTTTGTTATCCACTCATTGATGTATACGTACTATGCGTTAAAAGCGGTCCGATTCTCAATCCATCCAATGGTCGCCAAATTTATCACTTTATCGCAAATTCTTCAAATGATTTTCGGCTTTTACGTCAATATCCGCGCCTTTCAGTTCAAGATCAATGGCGTGCCGTGCGATCTGTCCGTATCGGTGGTCACCACCGGTTTGGGTCTTTACTATTTATTTTTCATGCTTTTTGTCAATTTTTTCATCCGAACCTATTTGGTTAAGCCATTCAAATACTCCAACGGACAGACCTTTCAAGCCATTCATTATTGCTATCGAAGTCATAACAATAATCAGATTATCAGTAAAAACAATAAAAGCGAATAAATTATTTCACATTATTCTTCTATTGAAACCTATTTTTTATTACCGCAAAACATTCATCTAATAAATTATAAATCATTCATGTTTTGTATTATTATTTTTATATTATAAACATATTTAAATTCTTATTGTTTTTGGCACCTTTAATATTATTTTTTTCATTTTGTTAAATAAAAAACAATTCTTACTAAATTTTAAGCGATTATTTAATTTACAATTTATAACAGCAAAATTGCAAAATATTCAAATAATTTATTTGGTAATTTGATTGGTATCAAATATTTTAAAATAGAGTACATGTTTAGTTTAGGACTTAGTAAACTAATCAATTCATTAGATTATATTTTAAAATTTAGATTTATTAACTATATTATACATTAATTAATAATATCATCATCGACATCCGCAATTACTTAAACCATAAATATTAATCTTGTCTAATATAATTTGCATTAAAAACAAATCAATTTCTTTATGAATTGGCATTTGGTTGATGTGAATGAATAGAAGGTTGTTATAAGCGGACAGAAAGGTTTAGTCTTTCGCTAACAAAATACAATTAAAACATTTCTAAAATAAATATTTATAAATCAAGCATTTATTGAGTTCTGAGACTTTTATATGACTTAAATATAATTGATTATCAAATTTACAGATAAATATAATTATAATTTTGTAAAACAATAAAAATATATTAGATTTTAATCAAATAATTAGTTTAGAAAACCTTTTAAATATAATATTAAGAATAAAATTAATTTAATTATAAAAATTAATAATAGAGTGTTTGTTATTTTGGCAGAACTATCGATAGGTTTTACTCCGATTACTGTATTGTTTTTTGTGTTGGAATTGCTGTCCGCGACGGTTACGGGCGTAAGTTGTGGTCGAATCTCTGTTATAGTGATAATGATTTGGTCGGTCGTAATGCCTGTCCTGTTCCGACCAAATCCTACTGAACGCCGCCTTTCTATTCAGTTCTTCGAAATATTTAGCGTTTTGTCCATTAATTTGTTTAATAAATGAATACATTTTAATATAAATCCCTAATAAGACATAGACATCATATGCCGCGTAATATATCATTTCCTCACTCAGCGGACGATTACACCAGTAATGACTGTTCCCGACGTAACGCTTCTTCACCACCGCTTTCAATGGATTACATCCGTAGCCGCCGTAGCGCTCGAAGAGGCCGTTCAGACCGATCGCCTCCGACTGTTGACCACTACCCTTACTATTCACACAATTAATGACTGTATGCGCCGCTTGAGTGTCGATGAAGTTATTTAAAACGACCCCAAAGTCCCGGTGAAGAGCATAACTATCGTCTTCGCAGCCGTGAAATACTTTCTTAATATCATTTGATTCTAAGAGTTGTTTGAGACAAATGTCCACTAAATTAGGATTAGACCAGACGTCGAATATGAAGATCTTTGGGTATATCCTTGTGTTGTTTGTACCGGTGGTGAAACCATTGCACTTGGGATCACTCATCACATCCGATGGCAGATACGCCAACTGAACCAGAGTTATGGAGCCTCGAACTGAACCCAAATTAACGCCCTCTAAGTCAACGGTCACCACATTTGTTGTCTTAAAGATTTCGTTAACAATTTGTTTGCCGTGATATGTGTTGACAATTATACGCGTGTTTTCGTACACCTTATCGTCCAATTCGATGGGAGCGTCGATACGAGTGATGGTGTGGCCATTGAGGGCCGCTCTCGACAAATGCTCGCAAAGCACTACACAGTTATCGGAAGTGATGGTGAAGACATCGGAATGGCATTTAATAAAGTCAGTCAATTGGCTCAACGACTGTCCGCTAATCTGTTTAACCCATTTGGAGGCCTGGGATCTCATCTCAAAGACCCGACTCATTGGCACCGAATAAGCGCCGAGTCTTCGCAACTGAAACTCATAGAAATCGATGGCAACTCTCGTCTGTTCCGACACTTGTTTGTCGCTGTCGTATAGATTGAGGGCCGAAGTGATGGACACTTTGCCGTCTCTCACCATAAAAAGGGACGGATATTGCCATAAGAAGACCAGAATTCCCTGCAATTCATAAATAAATAAGTGATCAACAAATGGAGCGTTGGTTGGGTTTGGGATAACTGACTGGTAGTCCGTCGACGCCTCGACCGGTGATGCGTCTGAGGCCACGGCTGAGGACACTGTAGTCGCTATAGAGACCCAATTTGCTGACCAACTCTTTGACGGTCAACGGCTGATCACTCGTCACCAATACGTCCAACAAAATCATTATCACATTATGTCTTAGACTCTCGTCGTCCATCACTAGACGGCTCCGATTGGCTCCCGATTCAGTCACTCGATGTCGTCAATGGTGTCCAAAGAGGTGATAATGGCGTCGATTGAAGAGTGAATGGGATTTGAATGCAAACAATTGGCGTTCAATTGTATTAAATCTATTAAATGTTTGAACGATTCAAATGTTTGACTCATTCATAGCTGTATTGCAATCGTAATGAAAGCGCAAACGCATTGCCATTGCATTCAAACAATACATTCAACACATTGTTGTCATTCTTGTCATCACTATTGCT